ATCTTGTGTAGTTTGAAAACAAGTTTGACTACTGGAGGTTATTCTTGTTGAGTTACATCATCAAGTCTTTGCTTTACATTTTGCCCATTAGCAATAAACCACATCAGCCTCAAGCTCGTGGCTTTCTTGATTGTTTTACCATTTCTCATTGCTAAGACAACTGGAAGACAAATGTTTTGTGTTGTGAAAAGCTCGTTAATTTGTTTTATGATATTGAATGGGGGCCTTGAGTTTGTGCATGTTGTGGATTAAATATGTTTATTGTATTATAGGTTGTGGCTATACTTGGCTTCATTTTCGTAATGAATTTTCTTCCACATTGTTTGTGCAGGATATAATCAAGTTGTAGTTAAAGGTGATTCCAGTAATGGATGCTCAAGTGGGATTCAAAAAATAGCCTAATGAGAGGTCAGAAATATGGAATCATTTTACTATGATACTTAGTGGAGAAAGAGCAAAATGCAATTAATGTGGGAAAACATTTAAAGCTGATACTAATAGTGGAACTTCTAGCATGTGGAAGCATTTAAAAACTTGTTATGCATATAGATATAAGAACACTACGGTCAATGAAAACCAAGCAATACTCACTCGAGAAAACAATGATGGTGGCATTACGGCTATGGTGTTTAATAAAGAAAAGTGTAGAAAATCATTGGTTAAGATGATTATTATTGATGAATTAGCTTTTTCCTTTGTGGAAGGTGTTGATTTTAAGGAATTTGTGCGTCAACTTTGTCCTAGATTTGAGATTCCTTCTCGAAGAATGATTGCTAGAGATGTGCAACATCTCTAGCATGAAACAAAGGAATCATTGAGAATTAAATTAATTCATGATAGGTAAAGGATTTCTTTAACCACTGATTGTTGGACATCAATTCAAAACATCAATTATGTGGTAGTTACAGCTCATTTTATTGATAGAAGTTGGAAGCTGCATAAGAGGATATTGAATTTTTATGTTGTTCCAAATCATAAAGGGGAGACAATTGGAAAGCTTATTGAAAACTGTTTACATGATTGGGGAATAGAGCGTGTGGATATCATTACTGTAGACAATGCTAACACAAATGATGCAGCGATCATTTATGTGAAAAAAAAATTGAAAAATTGGAAATCTGATGATACTACTATTTTAGGTGGCTCTTATCTGCATGTACGTTGTTCAGCACACATTGTCAATTTGATTGTTAAAGAAGGGCTGAAAGAGTTTAATCCATCTATAGAAAGTATTCGCAATGCGGTCAAATATTTTCGATCTTCTCCTTCCCGGTTGATGAAATTTAAGAGTTGTATTGAAAGGGAAAAGATTGCGTGCAAAAAACTTGCAGTTTTAGATGTTCCTACAAGATGGAATTCAACATTTTTAATGTTGGATAGTGCATTAAATTTTGAAAAAGCCTTTGAAAGAATGGAGGAAGAGGATGGATTTTTTATTTAAGTATTTTGATGAAAATGAAGGTGGAAAAGAAAAAGAGGGGCCAGCTACAAGTTATGATTGAGAGAAAGCTAGAAAATTTGCCAAGTTTTTAAGAACCTTTTATGATGTCACATTGAAGTTTAGTGCTTCATTAAGTGTTACTTCCAATACTTACTTTTATGAAGTTTGTAAAATTGAGCAAATTTTGAAGAAAATGGGTGACAAGCAAGATTATTTGCTAAGTAGCATAGCAAATAGCATGAAGGTTAAGTTTGACAAGTATTGGGGTAATGTTGGTAAAATGAACAAGATTTTGATTGTAGCAGTTGTGCTTGATCCTAGGTATAAGTTGGAGTTTGTTGTACATTGTATTGGTATCTTGTATGATTGTGTTAAGGTTGAAGCTACAAAAAATGAGGTCATGAAATTATTGTATGCTCTGTATAACCAATACAAAGGATGTCATCATTCAAACGATGGAGCTAGTGGAAGTGGTGGTGGTGGATCTAATGATGGAGTCACTTTGTTGAAGGATTCAGATGATGATGATTGGGATGCTTGTAATTTTGATTTTGGGTACAAGAAAATAAAAACTAGCAAAATTGATTTTTCTGGAAAAGATGAGGTACAACGATATCTAATGGAACCCACTGAAGATGCTACTGATGGAGATTTTGACATTTTAAATTGGTGGAAGATCAATAAATCAAGATTTGAATTTTTATCTGAGGTTGCAAGGGATGTTCTTGCCATTCCCGTGTCTACAGTTGCTTCTGAGTCAGCATTTAGTACTGGAGGGCGCATTCTTGATTCATTTAGGAGTTCTTTAACTCCTAAAACAGTTGAGACCTTAATTTGTACACAAAACTGGCTAAGGGAAGAATCTAGACTTTTGAGGGTTTTCCAAGATAGCGTTTGCATTGAAGAGACATAGTTCTATGAAAGTATTGAGACAGGTAATAAAATATATATTATATTTTTTTCTTATGAAATCTTTTTAGTTGAATAATATTTAGTTTATGTATGTTTGTTAATTGTGCTTTTTCATTTTTTCTTATAGAGTTTCTTAGTGGAGAAAGTCAAGCAATTGATGATTAAATCAAATAGTTGTGTATGTAAATTAATCTTATTGGACAATTTGTTATTTATATATTTTAAATTGGATAACGTTAATTTGTGAAAGTTGATATTGAATATGTCATTAGTGGTATTTATGTAGTATTGTTTAAAAAATTTAATTATGGTACGGAACCGAACGGATTCGTGACCTAACATTTGCTAGCTTATATTGTTCTAATTTTCAGTAATCATCCCCCTTCTCTGCATGTTCTAATACGAGTTTACTGTCTTTCTTTTCCAGTATGGTCGCTAGGAGTTCCTGAAATGTAATTTGATTATTTACAACTTCTGGTACAGAATTGCCCAGAGTTAGATGGGCGCTTCCTGATTCCTACTTGGATGTCAAGAAGAAGGATTATAGAGGTATGAACCTTCGTACTGTTTTCGCATGTATTTGGTCATTAGTGTTTTCTTCTTTGTAGTACTTGTGAAAAAAATTGTTGCTTTCTCAATCACAACACATGTAAGATGCTAATTATGACTTTTATTTTGTATTGAAAATTTCCTTTATATTTAACATATCATAAAACCATCCATTTTTACCAAGAACTCAGTCCCGTTGATTACTTTCCTTTTGAAGGGAAAAGAGGATTTTCGTGTAAGTCTTTTCATTCAGCCTGCACAAGCTGTTTAATCTATTAATTTTCATTTGGGCCTTGTTCTAGGTTCAACAGTACATACCTCACAGACTTTTTATTGCAATTTTTTTTTGGTTTTACTCTATGGATTTTCTTCAATTAAGTTTTCCTCAAAAAGGGTTTGTCATTTCTGTAAGGCTCTGTTGATTTTTGAAATAATAGAGGAATGGATGATTGAGGAGGAGGAGGTGGTAGATGGTTTGTGGCGGTGAGGCGAATTTCGCAAGGTCTTGATTGAGGGATCACTTGCCATTTTAGCTCTGGTATATTCAATTTTCTTGAACTTTCCATCTTTCTATATATATTTTCTCTCTCTCGTTCTCTTCACTTTTCGTTAAACTTTATATCCATGTCTTTGTCTATTTAATGCATTGGAGTGTCTTTATACTTGTATATGTATGTGTAACTATATGTGTGTATACTGAAGATCTATGAATTTGAGATTAGGCTACTTCATATTTCAATTATGATAGTGAACTACACTTTGTCAGATACGATTCACATTTTTTTTACATTGAGAGCGAAATAATTGTTTTTTTCACCTGCATAAGATTGAAGTGTAGTAGTATGTGACAATCACTATTTCCTTCTTATTCTGTAGCTGCTATCCAACGTTTTTAGCTATGTTGATGAATGGGTGGAGCATTTTCCATTAAGCTGTACATTACCATTATGTATTCATCTGCAGTAAGAAAAGAGAATTTGAACACTATATAATTTTGGCTTCCGATCTACTATAACTAGAAATCGATCTATTTCAATTGAAACATGATACATCTTTAATTGTCTACAAATGCAAACTATTAATATGAATATTAAGCATATGAGAACTTTAATACAACGAGAGGTATTTCTCTCACATAAAATGTTAAAATTTCTTTTTGTCTTATTTGTTTTTTGCAAGATCGATGTTTACGGAGTTATTCCCAATTGCAGTTTATTGTCCATATAATATCTGATTATAATTATAGGGACCCTAATAAATCCCTCTAAAAATATGATTGAAGGACATTTGTTGGAGGTTAAAGTATAATTATCCCATAGTATATGTCTACCCAACTTTATTATTCTTTCTTTGGCTATTGAATGTTATGATTCAGACCTAGAATGATATGAAATTCTCATTACTTTTCTGAAATATATGTGAACTTTTCTGAAATATATGTGAACTTCAGTTTGGCATGTGGAAGTATGATATATCATGTATGTATTAGCGGAATGCTTGCCTTCTTTGGATTTTACAATATCCCTGCCTTGCCATATATGAGATGAATCTTATGCTTAGAAACCATCTTCCATTGTAGTAAACACTAATTTTCCTTTTTGGTCATTTTGCAATTCCATTTAGACATGGAGAGTGCAAAGGTATTACCTATCTTGTATCCCAGAAATATACTGGAGCTAGTGCAACAATAAAAGTTATGAGCGTAGTTTTTATATTTTTGTCCGCTTTTGGGATTTATGTATGTCAAATTTAGAGGTTATGATATCAAGAAAAGGCTGCAAGGGCTTATGATTTGGCAACACTAAAGTACTGGGGACCTTCAACCCATATCAATTTTCCGGTAATGCTTTTAACTTCACTCGCTTAATGTATAGATCTATTATATTATAAAGTGGGTCGAAATATGATCCTCGATGTTAATGCAGTTGGAAAATTATCAACAAAAAACTTTACGAAATGAAGAACGTGACCACACAGGAATATGTTGCTCACTTAAGAAGGTTGCCCTTTGCCCCCCTTTGCAGTTTTACTAATTCTTCCCTTTGTTTAGTCCATTTGTTTTTAACAAATGAATACTGTCAACATTGCAGGAAAAGCAATGGCTTTTCCAGAGGTGATTCAATGTATAGAGAAGTCACAAGGTCTTAATATACTGCCTTATTTCAGCTTTAAGAAGATGAGGGAGAAAGAAATTTGTCCAAGTGTGCAGTCATGTAACATTCTAATTGACAGTTATGGGCGGAGTCGCCAATTTGAGAAGTGTTTACAAATTCTTGAAGAAATGGAAAATAATAGGTTGAGGCCTAATGTCATATCCTATGGTTCTCTATTAAATTGTCTATGCAAGGATGGCCGACTTCTTGAAGCTGAAGTACTTTTTAAGCATATGGTGAATAGAAGCATTTGGCCAAATGTGCAGATATATAATGCCGAATTCTTGAAGCTGAAGTACTTTTTAAGTATATGTTGAATAGTATCATTTGGCCAAATGTTAAGATATATAACAACTAACCTCATTTTATTACCTTCATAACTTATTGGTTTCTTCTTTAATCACTAAACTCGTATCATTATTAGATATATATATATATATATTCACGTAGTGGTTGGCAAAAACAAAATAAGGCAGCTTCAAATGGAATTAATTACATTTCGTCAATTCTTAGTAATGTCTTTTCACTTTTACGTGTTTAAATTTAATATTATGAGTGACTAAATACTTTTATTGTTAGAATTGATGATGTAGCTTAATGTTTTATTATATATTTAATTTCAAGATTTTTATACCATTTTAATACTTGTTAATTAAGTATTGGGTGTTTAATGCAATTATTTATTTGCGCAACAATTAATTGATTTAGGGATAATACTGAGACCGAGAGGTGATGTATAATTCTAACTCGTGCGATAATTAATATAGACATTATAAGAGATTGAGAGATAATTATAAGTTATGCGATCTTTGTTGAATTTCTATAGATAAATGCGTTCATATGTGTGTGAATTTATATAGAGATATAATAAGTTCGGGCATATGAATAGAATTAGTGTTGTTGGAGAGAGACCACTAACTACATCTGGTTAATTCGATCGTTGGCACGTATGAAAAATTGGTGAATGAATTGAAATTAAATGTATGATAAATAACCTAAGTGAAATCGAAATCCTAACTATTCAATCACATAATCTTTTCTACAGTTTTAATTTGAATTGTTATTTTTGTTAATAGTTTGTTATTTTATTTATTAGAATTTCGCTTAGAAGACAAAACTTGATTTAATCATTAGTTACCATTTTAATTTAAATTGAAGATAGGTTAGTTTAAAAATTTATAGTAGATAGTAGTCTCTGTGGGATGATATTCGGACTTAATAAATTTACTTTATTACTTATCACGATCCGTACATTTGCGAAATTTCACGAACAAGTTTTTGACGCCGTTGCCGAGACTAGTTTATTTGTTTTAAATTTTTAAATAATTCTAGTTTTGATTTAGATTTTTTTTTTAGTTTAGGGTTGTGTGTCTTTGTTTTCATTTTCGTTACAAGCGTCTTTGCATGCGAAGTTTGAGAGTAGGCAATCTAGTATCTTTTGATCTAGAAATCGAACGTACTTTCAACCATAGAATTAGGCAACAACGAGAGAACATAATGGCAGAACAGAACAGAGAAGTGCAATCGGCACAAGTTGGACAACCAGTCGAGATTGATGAAGATGATTTGCCACTTCGACAATTCATCACACCACTTTGCACCAAATCAATCAAGTATCGTTTATCCTCACACCACTTGGCACCAAATCAATCAAGCATCTTTTATCATCTATTTGGACAGCCAAACTTTCAACTGAAGACATATATCATTTTATTGTTCTAGAATGAAGTATCATTTTATAGGAAATCTCATGAGAATCCACATAATCACATCTCACGCTTGTTGGATATCTACCAAAATTACAATTTTCATGGATTCCTTAGCCGCTGGAAGTATTAGGATTTGGAATGATCTCGTACAAAAATTTGTTACAAAATACTTTCCATTGTCAAAAGTAACTAAAATAAGACACGAGATATCCACTTTTCAGCAAGATGAATTAGAAAGTTTCCATGAAGTATGGGAAAGGTTTAAGGACTTGATCAGGAGTGTCCTAACCACGGCATTAAGAAAAATTTGTAAGTTTAGTACTTCTACACTGGTTTAAACCCAGCCTATTGTATATCAGTGGACGCAACTTCAAATGCATCTATCACATTAAAGTTATCCAATGAAGTTAAGGATTATATGAAACAACGGCAACCAAAAATGCCTTTTGGCCTTTCGAAAGATCCACACATAAGAAACGCACAGGTCTACATGAGGCGGATGCTTTCTTTGCATTATCAGCACAAATGTCAGCTTTGGAGAAAAATGTTATAGATCACTTGACGACGAGAGGTTTAGCAAAAGCTGTGCAAACAAAATATTTGGTTTGTGGTATATGCGATGGAACTCACAATAGTGGAGAATCCCATATGGCATCTCGAGAGACGGAGGAAGTTAACTATGCTCAAAATTATCAACTCTAACACAACAATGCATTCAGCAATATATACAACCCAGGTTGGCGTAATCACCATAACTTCTCCTGGAGCAACAATCAAAATAATTAGCAGTAGCCTCCCTCTGGTTTTCAACAGCAAGAGAAAAAATCGTCCCTGGAAGATATCTTCAGTAAATTTATATGAAAGACTGACCAATACATAGCAAAGACCGAAACGACCTTACAAAATCATTCAGCTGCCATAAAGGGGTTGGAAACTCAAATATGTCAGTTGGCCCGCACTATCTCAGAAAGACCACAAGGAGCCATATCTAACAACACAGAAACTAATCCAAGGGAACATGTGCAAGCAATCACAACAAGAAATGAGGTACAATTGCCTGAAATTACAATAAAAAGACCAATAGCAGAGACAAATAAAGTGCCACTTCAGATGAGGAGCAAGTGGAAGAATCTGAAAAATCAACTAAGAAAAATTTGAAAGAGAATTCAGACATACCACAGGCTAAGGCGGCCGTTCCTATCAGAGAATATGTACCCCCCAATTTCATTTTCGCAGAGACTGCATAAACATAAACTAGACAAACAGTTCTCCAAGTTCATTGAAGTGTTTAAAAAGCTGCAAATCAACATTCCATTTGCGGATGCTCTAGCACAAATGCCCAACTACGCAAAATTCATGAAGGAAACTCTCACTAACAAGAGGAAGCTGGAGGACTATGAGACCGTGATGCTAACTGAAGAATGCAATGCACGTCTACAGAATAAATTGTCTCTTAAGCTCAAGAATCCAATGAGTTTTACTATACTTTGTACCATATGAGATAAATATTTTGAACATGCTTTATGCGATCTTGGCGCAGTATAAATTTAATGTCGTTGTCTTTGTACAGGAAACTAGGGTTTGGAGAGGCCAAACCAACCACAATATCATTGCAACTGGTTGATCGCTCCATAAAGCATCCATGGGGATTATTGACGATGTCTTGGTAAAGGTGGACAAGTTCATTTACCCCGCAGATTTTATCGTATTAGATATGGAACAAGATAGAGATATTCCAATCATTTTAGGCAGACATTTCCTGACTACTGGAAGAGTATTGATTGACGTACACAAATGAACGTTGACACTTCGGGTTAATGACAAGAACGTAAATTTCAACATCTATCAAGTGAAGAAACCTCCAAAAAAAAGTTGACACTTGCGATATGATTCAATCAGTCGAAGCAGTTGTAGGTAATAGAGAAAAAAATAGATTTATAATATGACCCTCTAGTGCAGCACATGAATACCAGTTATTCAACAAGGGATACATCTCTTATTGGAAAATACTTAGGAACCAATGAAGTAGTTGACTTCCTATGGCTCATGAAGTCTATCCACCTGACAAAAATGAGAGCTATGTGGAAAAGCCTTGAAAACCTCCAAACAATGTCAAACCAAAAGAGGTTTTGAAGGCTCTACCGGATTTAAAGCCGTCCAATTCTATCTGCCATGCTATAGCGAAGAAGAATACAAAGCTGAAGATAAAGTTTAGAAACATGAGAGACGTGCCACCTGAAGATCAAACGTAGACAATTTGGCTAAATCAAGCTAATGACATTAAAGAAGCGCTTCTTGGGAGGCAACCCAAGCATTTTTCCTTTTTTTTTTTTAATTCTGTTTTTGCGTTTTAGGATAGTCTAATTTATTTAAAATTTATTTAGGATTCATCATCTATACCCCGTTTCCCCTTAGTTCTTCGTTTTGTTGGTTTATTCATCATTTTTCGTTTTGTTGTCATACTCAATTCTCTACCTACCAATTTTTCATGAGAAAGATTTTGGTTGGGAGAATGTTTTTTCCACGTGGGTCGGGAGAGCAGTACATGACGGCAATCCTAAAAGATGAAGAAAATTTGATATATGGTGCAATTATCTCTATCAATTTCATTTTGTTCGATGTGAGATATTTACTATTAATCAGAAGTATGTAGAAGCTGAAAACCTTCTAAGAAAAAGAGTTGCGTGAGAAATTTGTTGGTTATTGCGTCCAATTCTATTCTTTTCATATCAAATATTTGGTTCATCCAAATTGTCGATTATTGTGTCCAATTATACAATTGTTACCAAATGTTTGGTACGTGGAAACTTTTTATTTCAAATTAAACACGGTTTGAAGCCAAAAAAAAAAAAAAGAGCTAAGTAACACTTGTTCTAGTTATTTGATCTTAATGCTTTATTTGAGTTTTCAGGAACATGACGTCACATAACATTTAAACCAATTTTGACCAATGAGCCACGGAAGTAATAGGAAAGCTAACCGTTGAATTACACGTCATATCAAGAGAGTCTTTTCTTCACTTTCTTCCCCACCCCTTTATATGTGGATTTAAGATTTAAGATATTGAGGACAATGTCTAGTTTAAGTTTGGAGGTAGAAAACAAAAATTTCATTTTTTTGTGCTTTTGTGTGCTTTTGTTGCTTTAAAAAAATTGAAAAATATTTTCTTTTCGTGTACTTGTGTGAGTTAGTTGATCGGCAGGCAATGTTAAATGTATTGAATCATAAATTGAACTATGAATGGTGAATAAGTTGCATGCTTAGATTAATTTTTATTTTTTCATGTGAAATTTGATATATATTGAACACATGAATTAAGTTAAGTATTGTGTATGAATAAGTTGATTTCATAATTGGATAGGTTGAAATAGTGGACCTAGATGCTAAACCAAAAATCACAAAATTTTACATTCTTGGACCAAATTGAGAATAATTTCGGGGATTTCACTATTGTGGGAAGATATTGAAATAAATGGGGATTCCATGTGTGAAAAAAAAAAATCTTGTGTGGATTGTCTAAGGTCAATAGGAAGAAATTGGGTGAAAATCTCAAGTTAGATTTTTTTTTTTTTAATTGGTGTTTAATAAGGGATATTGCACTAATCAAGACATAAAAAAAATTTATTATTTTATTTGAAAATTTCTCTTCGTAGCCTTTATGACTCGAGCAATTAATTATGTAAGAGCATTAAAAACCTGGTGCCCTATGGTCATCTGACTTGAGAGTTATCGGCCGAAAACTTGTTCAATTGGTCATTTTGAAAGGTTAAGGTTGAGAATGCTTCAAATAAAGAAAAAAATTGAATTTTTTTTTTGAGAAAATAAGAAAAAAAAATGTTTGAAATAAAAGACACACTAAATGCCTTGGTTATGTCCCAAACACTTATTTGAGAAAATTTGACTTTTGATAAGGGATTATTAGCCTAGTTAATTCCTAGAGATTGAAGCAATCAAATTATGGAGAATCCTTGTTTGACATGTTGACTAACAATTAGTGAGATTTATTTAAACTAGAGAGGTAATGATAGTATAAAACTCAACCTTAATTCATACACGTGAAAATAGTGAAAAGAATAAGTTTGGGGGTGTGTGAATCTTACAAGTGATGAAAGAATATATTTGACAATTGAGGGTCGTGAATGGAAATAACTTATAAATTCATAATGTCGTGCTTAATTCTTTACACACGTCGATTTTACATTGAAAATGTAGATTTTAATTCATGTATTGTGATTTTGAAGTTGTGATTAGATTTAGTATTATGATTTCAATCTTGAGATAAAAAGTCAGGTTAGTTAGCTAAATCTTTTTGCTCTGCTTGATTGACTGGCCACCAATTAAATAATTAGCATTGTGTATTTGTGTTTGTTAGGTTTTAATTTTGTTTGAATACAAACAAAAAGTCAAGTTTGGAGGTGTGATAAGTGTAGTTTTTATACTTATTCGAAACTCAAAATTATGAAATTTTATTGACTTTTGAATAAAATTATACCTAATTTATGTTAAATTATATTTTGTAGGTAAAACTTTATGTTTAATGAAGAATTGAAGAAAATAATGCAAAATACGGAAAAAAATGGAAAAAGTCATAGTACAAGAACTTGGAAAGAAGAATTAATTTTATTTGGTATTGAAATTTATTGGACCTCAACTCCCATTATTGTAGATTTTTAGGGGGTTGAAAATTTTTAGAATAGTGATTGATGGGAGATGTGTGGTTGAAAAGTTTTAGATTTGTGTGTATTATTATTTTATTTGATGAATGTATGGTTGAGATGAAGAGAGAGAAAAATTTAATGTAATGTAATGAGATATAATGGGGAGTAAACAAGGGCATATTAGAGATACACACGCAAAGAAGAGGAGAGAGAGGAAAATTATATACATATTCACGTACAAAAGGCGGCGGCTGCAAATTGGGGAGAAAAGATATTCAGACACAGAAAAGTCAGTTACTGAAGAATTTGGTGAAAGATATATAAATATACACAACCACAGGAGGACAGGAGGAGAAAAGAAAGATAAAAGAATAAAAAAAGAAGAAAAGTCAAGAATTGCGGCAGTTTGGAAGAAAAAACAAAGGCGTCAATTAATATTATAATCTCACGCATTAGGAGCCGGCTTGCTTATGCGTGGGGAGAAATTGATTAATGTATAGAGGATGAGCAGCATCCTTGACGGTTCTCACCTGACATTCCTTGAGTCTTGGTGAAAGAGGTAATTCGCTGTTTATGCCTCCAAGGGTATATGGTGGAAGACTGTTTGTACACTTACACTTACCCAATGGTCAAATCCATATTTCAGGATTCGAACCCTTGACGCAGCAGTCTCAAGCAAATCTGAAGTTTTTCCACCTTCTCCTTTTGTCATTTGGAGATGTGCCATGGGGGCGAAAAATTAATTAATATATATATTCACGCAGTGGTTGGCAAAAACAAAAAGAGGCAGCTTCAACTGGAATTAATCACGTTTCGTCAATTTTTGGTGATGTCTTCCCACTTTTGTCTGTTTAAATTCAATATTATGAGTGACTAAATACTTTTATTGTTATGATTGATGATGTAGCTTAAAGTTTTTATTATATGTTTAATTTCAAGATTTTCATGCCATTTTAATACTTGTTAATTTATTATTGGGTGTTTAATGCTATTATTTGTTTGCGTAATAATTAATTGATTTAGGGATAATATTGAGATTGTGATGTGATGTATAATTCTAGCTCTTGCGATAATTAATATAGACATTATAAGAGATCGAGAGATAATTATAAGCTATGCGATCTTTGTTGAATTCTTATAGATAAATGCGTTCATATGTGTGTGAATTTATATAGAAATATAATAAGTTCAGGCATATGAATATGATTAGTGTTGCTCGAGAGAGATCACTAACTACATCTGGTTAATTCGATCGTTGGCACGTATGAAAAATTGGTGAATGAATTGAAATTAAATGTATGATAAATAATTTAAGTGAAATAGGAAATCCTAACTATCCAATCACATAATCTTTTCTACAGTTTTAATTTGAATTGTTATTTTTGTTAATAATTTGTTATTTTATTTATTAGAATTTCACTTAGAAGACAAAACTTGATTTGATCATTAGTTATCATTTTAATTTAAATTGAAGTTAGGTTAATTTAAAAATTTATAGTAAATAGTAGTTTGCGTGGGACAATATTCAGATTTAATAAATCCACTTTTTACTTGTCACGATCCGTACACTTGCAAATATACATGTCATTCTGAAGAGTTAAATTTCTTCATGTAAAAAGATTCAAGATGATGCAGATATTTAAATCCATATCCTTCATATATAATTCATACAATGAGAGAAATATGTTACAACTGTAGCTAGCTAAATCCAAATCAATAGTAGATGAGGAGATTTTCAAGAAATACATAATGCGCGGTTCAACTTCGAAATGGAAAGATTTAATTTTGTGCAACAATTAATTTCCTCTTCCAAAAGTGATCGTGTCTAGGGATTAACACCGTCTGTCTTCTAATAAAAAACTTGAAAGGCCAGCAAATATAGAAATATTGAGTACATCAAGCTTTTATATCCCACTCCCTTCTGATTAACCTGTTTCACAACGATAAGAAAGAAGGAAATAAATTAATTTAAGATATTATTCATTTCATACTATATAATGTATCATTTTGAAAAGAGAAAATTATTAAACATTTCGACATTGACTAGACGTACAACTAACTATTAAACGAATGACTTGTAATTCGACAAACATAAATCTTATTTGACATATGCTGCTTTTAAATAAGTTAAACTTGGGATCATTGTGCATTCATCTCTCCCAAAATTGGAATTTTGTACTAAAAAGTCGAAAAGAAAAATCTATGGCTTTACATTTACCTGGGTGGCATTTGAAGTTAGGAAAATAGACGTAGATGAAGTTGAAGTTGAAGTTGAGGTTGAGGTTGAGGTTGAAGTTGAAGTTGAGGAAGTAGATAAGGCAGAAATCCCGACATCGTATACCATCGTTCCATCGGGCTGGAAGATCCCATAGTTTCTCTCAGATGTAGGGCCGGGCTTCATGTCTTCATTAAACAATGCAAAAACATAAATTTCAAGTCTCATGTTAGGCCTTAATGGTGTCCCCTCATTTCTCAACTGCCTTCTCATCAAATTCCGATTGTATATACCGGCATTTTGGACTGTCGCCCCGATTTCATCTGGATCACCCTTTGATGGCCACCCTGTTTCTGAAACCGTAACTTCAATCCCTTTAAACCCTAATCTAGCCATGGCAAATATCACTGCATCCACTTGAGCATACAGCATGTTGTCATAATGTAGTTTTGTGTAAGGATCAACCATTCCAGGATTACGGTTGAACAATGCATAGTCTATAGGAATCCTCTTGGGATCATCTTTATATGCAAAATAAGGGTAGGCATCGATCAAAAATGGTGCCTTTGTATCTGCCAAAAACTTTAAAATTTGCGTCATTATGCCGGTGAGTTCGGATTGGAAACTTCCGGCTGAAGGTGGATATGATGCCGCAAGAACTGCTAAAGAATGGGATGTTGTAACCTGAATGTATTGATCTAACCCTAATTTCACTAAAGCTGCATGAATGCTCACCATGGCTGGTACGACGTTAGTTATTAGTGTCGTGTCATGGCCGGTGAAAAGTTCGTTTCCGACAGCGATTCCGGTGATCCTCGTGGCCGGAAAATAAGGCCTAATATGGGTTCCTACCCATTGAAGTGCTTGTTGTTGATCTATTAAGGTTGTTAACACTTGGTTTTCAACTGTCACGAGGAGTTCTATGTTGGAGTTGGCAAATGCTGTCAAAACTTGAGGATTTGTGTCGTAAATTCGGGCTTTTGTTATCCTAAGTGAGTGCAGGAGCTCAAGAACTTTATCAGGGGGTGGTAAATTGTTTCCCACTTGACCATAATTAATGCCGAGGGAATCTACTAGTCTTACATAACCAAAACCTGTCCAATCCAAAACAAACAATTAATATATAGAATAAATACTGAACTTTCACCTACGGAATTTTCGATGGATATAAGAACATTTTTTTTGGTGGTGATATACATACCTGATAAAGTCAGAAAGGATCCTAGAAATATATGAAATATTGCAATCTTTTGTGGAAATGCTTCCATTAGAGAGAGAGAGAGAAAGAGAGAATCTTTCTCTTTGCTAACAAAGGAAAGAAGGGGAAATGAAAGAGGTGCAATGCAAATAGAGATATATATATTAAGTATCTTCTGTGAATTCTTTTCTTTACTTGCTTGTTTATTTTTTCTGGTCAGATGAGGTTTTGGTTGGCTTGCCTTGTTAATGATGGCTTTGGGACAACCTTGTATACTGGTTTTGGATGACTTGGTCTACTTATCTTCATCCTGTTATAGGTTGGTGGCCTCAATTGTCTTTTCAAGGATGCTAAACCTTGTATTCTCGCACGACTCCCCCACACTTCTCGTAAAAGAAAATATAACAGAGAATATTATAAAAAATAATTGCAAACTCAATATTTTCATGAAAATTTCAGTTTCTAAAACCTATATTATCTTCATAAATTACACTTTTGAGTTATGTATTTTATTTAAGCATAAATTTCAACCATAAGAAAACAATTTTGGATAAATTTATATTTTATGACTTTTTGACAATTTGTTCATCCAGTGGTTAGAGTAACATGCTGATATATTTATATATTCAATTTGCTATAGACATACACAATAACATGGCATAACGTACTGACACTAGCTAGAATAATAAATTGCTACTAAAAAGAAAATAAAACAATTTCTGGTAGTATTTCTAATAAAGCGTGCAATAATCTTATAGAATGAAACTGAGGATTGGAAATTAACACAATCTTTTTATCGAGAAATTATGGAGAGAAGTTGTTAATGAGCTAATAGTATCGATGACATTTGGTCACGTTGAAGGTAATTTTATTGTTATTTCCTCTAATGACTCAAATTTATCAATAAGATGATTAACATGCAAGCAAAAGGCTCGAATTCAAATCTTCCTTCCAGCCAACTTTACTTGAAGAAACATGTTAAAGAGTGTCCCCTCTTTACTTAGATTTTCAAACGAAATATATGCTCAACAAATCCCAGCCTACAATTCTTTTTCTTTACATATAACTAAACCATTTGGGAAAAAGAAAATTTTCTGCAGCATCAATAAAGCAAAAGTGCAATACCAGTACTATTATTACAGTATATGACAATTGTGTCAAAAATTCAGATACTCATTATAATTAATCATCAAGCATCTTACTTTGATTACATCAATTTTATACCAATGATCCTGACTAGATCCAACATCCTAAAGAACAAATAACAATTAAAAAATATCTGGTGGGATTCTAATGGCAAATAAAAAAATACTAATAGTATTGACTTCTTCCTTCTATAATAAAGTTACAAGAACCCTTTTAATAAAGAAAGTAAAAGAAGGTGTGTGTGATAAATTATAACTATTCAATTTCCTCCATAAAATATATTAAAAATTATCAAACTTGACCCCCTTTTTTGCATTTTGGTGGAGAATTCAAAGATAACCTACGTAATTTTTGGCCCAAATGTTATCGTATTGAAAAGTAGAAGTGTTTGGTAAGTGGATAAGGAATGGTGTACGTAGGAATGACAGAGATTTGAATGTTCTTATCTTGATGCAAAAAGACACGGTATCATGTGGACAATAGTTATTTTCTTGGCCCCATATATTTATCATTTTGCAATTTGCTGTAACTTTTCTTTCGGTCAATTCAATATTACATTTGCGCACATGATATACTATAAATTATTCTACAAAATAGGATTATTAAAAAGTTTCTTTTCTTGAGGATTTTGAGATTCCCTAACTCCTTTATAGTAGAAACGGATTAAATTTGATTTTCTGACAAGCAATGGTTGTCTTGCTTTGAAGTTCTCTGAACTAAAGAATGGAAAGGAGGTGTAACATTGGAGGGATGCATTAGATGTGTGATGAGTGTATTTCACTCATACTTTATACATCATCTAAACTTCATATTTAATTAATTTCTACGAGTTTTAGAGCGTTTTAATGTGTTTTGATGTTATGATATATGTTGATTAAATTGAAGGAAATAAGAAAAAGTTGGCAAAATTGGAGAAGAGGGTTGAATTGTAAGAGATCTAAAGTTCGAGGACTAAAGTAAAAATATTCAAAAGTTGTGTCAGACCTGACAATGTAGATTCAAGAATGTTAGGAGTCAATTGGATGGAGAAAGAAGTCAAATGGATGAAATATAGGCAAAGTACGATCACACACCAATTTTCAACCGAAAAAGTTATGCTCCGGATTTTCAATTTCATATTGAGACTCATTTTTTACATAGAAAAAGTTCGAATTGGAAAATGATATCTGAATCAAAGTTGTAGCTCTTTGAGTTATCTTTCCAAAGCATCTTGAATTTATGCAATCGGACATCAGAAGAAAAAATTATGATAAAAATATTGAAAGACGCGCAGTGCTAAATTTTCATAAGAAACTAGGCGCCGCAATGCCGCAGCGCCACTGTTGCTGAAATTCAATAGCAATTGGGCACCTAGCTCTACGATTGTGGGGCTGAGGCGCCGCTAGGCGAGAAAAAAAGTTTTGAGTTTTTTGGACTATTTTCTTGGCCAAATACGACTCAATCCCTTTCAAAACTTCAAAATACTATAAAGACAACATTTAAGACCTAATTTTAGGAGGATAACGGTTCAAGAGGCGTGGGGGAATTCAATACAATTTTTCAAGAAGGCAAGGAGGAAAAATATCAAGAGATTCAAGAACAAGGCAAAGAAGAACAAAAGAAGAAATTGAAGATCTACATACTAGTTTTTTATTATCTTCCCTATGTCTTTTTATATGAATTTTAGTATTTTCATATATTACATCATGAGCTAAATTCATTATCTAGAGTTTGATTGTAGCAAAAAACTTGAGAATATGGATTGGTTAATTTTAGTTATTTCTATTATATTTTCCGCATGTGTTTATTTGTGTTATGATTTTAATTCTTTCAATTAAGTGATCACTAATTGAATGATTTGATACTAGTCAATTTCGGCACTCGAGAGAGGGAAGTTTATGTGTGATCATAAGAATAACACAACCTAGAAAATTATAGGTTTCGACAGAAATTATAATTCATTTGAAGCATGTTCCATTTAAGAACCATGAACTAGATAAATTTTATATTTTAATTCGGAATAGAGATATTGAAATTGAAATATAGGAATAGTTTTTACTTGGCACTCGAGAAAGGGAGTAAAATACGTTAGTGTTCTTACTTATAAACTTTGAAAAATTGATTAGAAATAATTATATAACCCTTGGCTTTCTCACTTGATTATTCTTTTAGCTTGCATTTATTTATTGAATTCGTCGTCATGTAAGTTTAAAAAACATTGATTATAAAATTCATTCATCTAGATAAAATAGAGGCTATATAATTATAATAATTAGTAGAAATTTGAATTACAATTCTCATGGGTTCGACACTTTAACTTCATTATTATATTACAAAACTTGACACCATACACTTGCGGTATAAATCACGTTATAGAAAACGCGTGACAATATGTTGAAACAAGACTATTGACCTATCGATTCCTAGTGATCAACATACGCAATAACGGAGTCACGGAGACGAAAAACAATACATACATGTAAAAAAGTTAAATGGGGGGCAGAACTAGACTTTAACAACATGATTTTAAAGACAATTTAAGTCTAATGTTTAGTAAGGAACATTAATTAGTTTAGACAATATTAAAATGAAAAAAAAATGTTAAAGTCTTGTTCATTATACTATTGAGTATTGCATATCATACATGCTGCCATAAAATCAATATATGATAATACCAACAAAGTTTTTCCAAAATATTTTTATAAATTCGGCATAGACTAGTAAACTATTTATGTTTTGATGTCTTGAAATCCATGAATTGTTCACGATAATCACTTTTTTATCTACTACAGATGTCAATTTGATCCATAGGAAAAAAAAATGATATTTTGCTTAACTCATAAGAACAAGTAGCAAAACATTGTGATAATTATTTGACAATAATAAGAATAATTAATTTTGAAAATCCAGGATGTCCTAGTCAAAATATCAACTTCACCGAAAGGCTGTTTGATCTAAAGACCTTATATCAGATGAAAATCCAGAATGGGGCTTTTACGAGTTCTAATATTCAACGTCAAACGATTATGGGCACTGTGTTGGAATATCTTTATTTTGAAATTAATTATCTGTAAAATCAATCAAGAATATACTGATTAATTGTTCGATTTTAAAAGTGATGCTTATAGACTACCAAAAGTATGTACATAACTTTTCCACTTGGATCGAACACCAGGTGTGGTAGGGAAGGAGTTCAATGTTTCATTAATCACTGAATTTATACTTCCATCATGATTTAATCATCGAATTTTAAAATGGTTTCGAATGATCGATCATTGAACTTTACTTTAATATTATTTAATCTAAATCGAAAATTTCACTATGTGTTTGAGATATAATTTTTTTTCTTGATTTAGGTCTACAATCTCAATCGAATAAAAAAAAATTCTCAATTTTATTTTCTCGACATAAAGGAAGATTCGATCTAATTTAAGATTTATGTTAATTTGAAGCTAGCATTCTTATTTTCTTTTGAACATAGCTTTTGATGACTAGAGAAATTATATATTCTCGACGAATATCAATATTCTCATTTTAGATTTAGAATCTTATTTTCAAGTCGATATTTATTTTATTAATCTAGTTCGAATTTTGTAGAAAAGCAACTTCGCTCAAAAATATTATGAAGTTCGGTGATCATTCGAAAAATTTTTAAACTTCAACGAGTAAAATGTAACGAATGTATAAGTTCAATAAATAATGAAACATCAAATATGAGTGAGTGATATAGTGCAATATGTTATAGTTCAGTGATCATTCCAATGCATTTTAATATTTAGTGAGTAAAGCGTGATGAATCTATATGATCGTATGAATGAAACATATAAATGGCCCAACCGCAACCATGCATGTGCAGTGACTGGTAAAGGGCTAAAAAGAAACGATTGCGTTAGAAAAGTCCCTTTTGAGAAAATAAAAGAAGTGCTCTTAAAAGGCATTGGATCA